CCGGAAGTTCTTTTGTCATGGAAGCAGAGCTGGGTTCCCAGAGGATGGCTTCGGCACCATACGGTGAAGACCAGGGTTCTTTGGTTTTAGTTGTTTCCTCTTACTGTAAGCAAATACAGACCTTACGCCTAAAGAACTTTCTAAAGGCCAGTCCTAGCCTGGGGCTGTTCAGGTGCTTGTTCTTGGTGCCTTTTGCCCGGATCTCGGATGTCTTCTGACAAGCTTGTCCATCACAGATATTCTCTGTTTTGGATGCCTTTTGAGCAACAACAGTGCAACTTAGAATTTGTTTCTAAAGAAAATCATTATTTTTTCTATTCTTTTGAAGTGTATGAACACATTCTGTCAACCACCTGCTTTTATACTCCCCAACCACAAAACACCAGATGAACATTTATCTTTCTAAAACTCTCAAAGACAATTTGCTAAAGAGAACATTCTCAGTTGATTTCAGGTACACATGATGTTCAACCAGGAGATCTATTTAAATGATGAATCGGGCAGCTCACCTGAAGGTCAGCAGTTCGAAACTACCAGCTGTTCCGCGGGAAAAAGATGAGGCTTTCTGCTCCCATAAAGTTTTATAGCCTCGGAAACCCTGTACAGGGTCGCTATGAGTTGGAACTGACTCCACGGCACATAACCACCACCACCACCACCAGATGAACCCAACTCCATTTGCTAAAAATGATCAAGGGCATTAAAGCTCCATCTACATGCTACACATTATGTAGACAAACTTGTAAAAAGAAAAACCAACGCAATCCCTATGTGAAAGTTTTAAATATCTAACTGGTATTGTGACTGAAGACCAGAAGAGTTGTGGGATGACATGAAGAACATCATACAGGAAGAAATCAAAAGGTCATTAAAAAGACAGGCAGGAAGGAAGAGACCCAAATGGATGTCAGAAGAGACTCTGAGATTTGCTCTCCAGCACAGAGATGCTAAAGCAAAGGGAAGAAAGGAAGATGTAAAAGAGCCGAACAGAAAATTTCAAAGGGCAGCTCAAGAAGACCAAGTCAAGTATCATAATGAAATGTGCAAAGACCCGGAGTTAGGAAACCAAAGGGAAGAGCACGCTCAGCATTTCTCAAGCTGAAATAACTGAAGAAAAAGATCGAGCCTGGACGTTCAATATTGAGGTATTGTATGGGCAAAATGGAGTCTTGGTGTACTGCTGTAAGGTAAGCACTGGACTGCTAATCACAAAGTCATCCAGTGGTTCAAACCCACTAGCCACTCCTTGGGAACCCAATACAGGGTGGCTATGAGTCAGAACCAACTCGATTGCACTTGACCACAACAACATGGGCAAAATATTGAATGAAAAAGGAAGCCTCAAAAGATGGAAGGAATACACAGAGTCACTGTACCAAAAAGAAATGGCAAGTGTTATTTTAAGAGGTAGCATATGATCAAGAACCAATGGTACTGAAGGAAGAAGTCCAAGCTACACTGAAGGCATTGGTGAAAAATTCCAGGAATTGATGGAATACAAATTGAAATCTTACAACACACTGATGCAGCACTGGAGGCACTCACTCATCTAGGCCAAGAAATTTGGAAGACAGACAGAGACAACTGATTAGAAGCGATCTGTATTCATGCCCATTCCAAAGAGAGGTGACCCAATGGAATGTGAAAATCGTCAAACAATATAATTTATTTCACATGCAAGTAAAATTTTGCTGGAGATAATTAAAAAGCAGTTTCAACAGTATATTGACAGGGAGCTGCCAGAAACTCAATCTGGATTCAGAAAAGGACGTGGAACGAGGGATATCACTGCTGACGTTAGATGGATCTTGGTTGAAAGCAGAGAATATCAGAAAGATATTTACCTGTGCTTTATTGACTATGCAAAGGCTTTCAACCATGTGGATCCTGACAAGGTATGGATAACATTTCAAAAAATGGGTGTTCCAGGACACTCATGAGGAGCCTGTACATAGACCAAGAGGCATAAATTTGAAAAGAAAAAGTGCATACTGAATGGTTTAAGATCAGGAAAGGTGTATGCTGGAGTTGTATCCTTTCACTATACTTATTCAATTTGTATACTGATCAAATAATCTGAGAAGATGGATTATATGAACAAAAAGTGGCATCAGGATTGGAGGAAGAGTCATTAACAACCGGCAATATATAGATGACAAAGCAAAGAGGACTTAAAATACTTAACTGATGAAGATCAAAGACTATAGCCTTCAGGATGGATTTTACTTCAATGTAAAGGAAACAAAAATCCTCACAACCGGACCAAGAAATAACATCATCATAAATGGAGAAAAGATTGAAGTTGTCAAAGAGTTCATTTTGCTTGGCTCCACCATCAACACTCATGGAAGCAGCAGTCAAGAAATTAAACAAATTACATATTGCAATAGGCAAATCTGCTGCACAAGACTGCTTTGAAGTGTTGACGAGCAAAGATGTCAGTTTGAGGACTAAGGCGTGCCTGACCGAAATCATGGTATTTTCAATAGCCTCATATGCATGTTAAAGATGGACAGTGAATAAAGGAGACTATAGAAGAATTGATGCATTGTTTGAGTTACGGTGTTGGAGGAGAATATTGAAGGTACCGTGGACTGCCAGAAGAACAAACAAATCTGTGTTGAAAAAGTAGCCAACATGCTCCTTTGAAGCCAGGATGGTGAGATTTCATCTTTTATGTTTCTTCAGACATGATATTAGGGTGAAAACCCCTAAAGAAGGATATCATTCTTAGAAAAATGGAGGGTCAGTGAAAAAGAGGAAGACCGTCAATGAGATGAACGGGAACAATGGCAGCAGAAATGGGCTCAGGTGTAGCAACAACTGTGAGGATGGCACAGGACCGGGCAGTGTTTTGTTCTGTTATGCGTACGTAGGGTCGTTGTGAGTTGGAACTGACTAGACAGCACCTAACAACAGCAATATTGTGAATGGGAAAGAAAGAATACTTTTAGACCAATGACTTATTTCTATATCTGGGAATCAAAGCTGATGAGGAATTGGCTTTCATTCTCAAGCTGATCTGTTTTTATTGAATATTTAAAACTTCTTGGTACACAGTACCATGAGCAAACATCTCAGCGGTCTCCCAGAAGATCAGCTCTCCCAGGCAAAGGAATTTTCTCTTGTGAACCAGTCTACTGAGCCAAAGTCGGGGGAGACTGGAACTGAGACAGTCTAGTTACATCCTCTCAAAAGGTTCGAGTTGAGTTACAAATGACTTAGAGTATTGAGGGCAGGGAGAGGGACTCATAGCGTACACAAATCCTGTTAGGGGGGCAGATGGGAAGATGGGAACATGGTGCAGTCATTTCAAAAGCACCAATCTAAGAGCTTGGTTAGACAAAATGTGAAAAAGGCAAGGTATGAGAACCAGGGTCACAGAAAAGAGGTTTACTTGTGGATGTAACAATACCTACATGCACACCTTCCTTTGAAGCCCAGCTCTACCAAGCAGGCTAGCTGTGGGGTACGTTTGGTCGGAACCACATTCTGTTTAAGGAACAGTCTGGGTCCATGGCTAGAGGAAGGGGGGCAAGTACATCAAGCCACTTGGTTGGAAAAGCCACACAATACACCCCCACACTTCACTGTTTATCATCTATTCCTGCTGACCACGTGGCTTCAAACAATGCAGTCCACAGAATTACAAGAGACACATTTCGACTCAACCATTCACTGAACTTGTTCCTCACTGCCTTGAAGCAAATGAATAATTGCATAGGAAAAATGTATTCCGATGACAAGAACATAGGCATGTATTTTTTAAGTGGAAGAAGAAAATCCTGTTGAGCCAGTCAACAAAGTACAAACATCAAATGCACAGAGAAGCTTGTGAGAGCCGGAACTCAACATGACTTTTGTGTCTTTCTACCTTGGACTGGTTTCTGGGTTACACAGGTTCCGGCTTTCGCAGTTTTCACTGTAATTAAAAAATGGCGTTTGACCCATGTTGCACATGGTAATAGAAAAAAGGACCACCAGCATTTGAGAGCTCTGTGGCTTACAAGGCCTTCATTCAGTCCTGGGCTTGGGTAGGTAGAGGTTTTTAAATTAAAAAATTTTTTTTATGGTACCCATTTTACAGAAGTGGAAACTTGAGTTCAGGTAGGTTAGATCACACAGCTATCAAGTAACAGAATGGCAGCATACATACAGGTCCTCAAAGATAAAACCTAGACTCCTTTCACAACTTAGCTGCTACAAATATGGGTAGCAGATGTACCGGGCTGACAATGCCATTTATTTAGTGCCAAGTGTCTTTCAAAGCACTTTTGGTTTTGAAAAGAAGGATGTGGAACATGTAGGTGTCACCAAGTTAAACTTTGCTTACAGTTCCCGTGAAATTTAAACCATGTGCTCTATGAGAGGTAATGAGTCTTGTCATGTATAAAGCAAAACCATCTCTAGAAAGAGGTTGTTCCAAATCAAATTTCTTTTGAGAACTGGTTGCATCTCGAGGGTGACCGTGAAAAATCCACACTCCCCATGCTATCCTAGCTCTTTGACATCTTCCCTCATTAGGCAAGTGTCCAGCCAAGACGGATCCATTTCACCAAACAAATGCATTTGCAGTGATGGGTTTATTATTTTTTTTTTCAAATTACATAAAAAAAACTCTGAAAATATAGCTCCTTTCTTCTACTTAATTTGAATCTCATCCCTTCCCTTTTCCAAGGCTAATTTTTTACTACACCCCTTGGATCTCTCTGCACACAATGAAGAACAATATAATCTTTATTACTCTTTTCTTATTCCAGATAAGAAATGGACTATTGTGATATTATTTCTGCAAAACTGGTCTACCTATCAAAGTCTCTGCTATAATTTTCACTAAGATAACCATTAACGTAAATGAGACATTTTAAAGGCAATCAAATTGCAATAGTAAATCTCTAAATAAGTATCCAGACAAATAAAATTCAAGAAATAAATAAGCAGATAAAAACCCAAATCCAATTCTACGCACAAACACAAACAAATATACATCCATCACCTACCATGTCTTCAGGATCTTTTTTTGTTTCAGCTTTGTTAGATGAAACCTTAATTAAAAGTTGGAGAAAACCGAGGTTAAAAAGCATACTTCTTTAGGGTGATTTTCAGTTCACAGAGATTTCACTTTTCCAATAAAGAATGAAATACATCCTTTCAGATGGGTGGAAACCCAAGGACTTTTGGGCACTGTCTAGGTATACAAAAGGCAACATTTAAGCTAATAGATTTCCTATTTTATATGGAAACCCATGATATATACACATGCACTACAAATCTGACCACATTCAAGATTATCCCCCAGGAAGGCCACATACTTATCAATGACTCTAATATCATTCCAAGTGAAGGCACCACTGTTTGGTGTGTGTGTGTGTGACCCATTCTATTGACTTGTTTGTAGACTTGCTTTACTGTTTGGCATTAACCTTGGCATTCAGAAACAGCCTGAGCCCATTTGGAGCTGTCTGCTTACTGATGCATGCATTCCTCCCACACTGTTGGAGTATCTGCCTTGTACCAGGTCACAGACACTGGGGAGTCCATGGTGAGCAAGCAAGGGAAGCCAGGTCTCTGCACGCATTCCATTGAAGCAGTAGACTTAGGTGTAGCAATACAGAAAGTGATTTTACAAAGCATTTTATTTGCCATTTGAAATGGCAAAATTGCTTTGAAGGGCCAACAACACAGCGAGGAATTTCCTGATTCTATTTATAACCAATGACCATAGACATCATCCAACTGCAGTCGAATTCCATTATGATACAACCTGTGTTAAATGACCAGGACACGCACTGTTCATATCATGGTTCACAACTCCGATGACTCCTTCACTGAAGTCCTGATGTAAAACCATTCTTTTACGAAGCACATCTTGTCCCTGTTCGCCGATGTTCTGGTCACACCACGTTGCGCATCCATTCAGTACAGTAGAATTAGATTACGCATCATTCTCAGCATTAACAAAACCTTTGAGCAACAGGGTTGAGGCAAAGAAGAGGAAATGACTTACCAGAGTTTTAAAGAAGCTCATGATGGAATTATTTTCTGCTGTATTTGTAGTCTGGGGGTTCTCCTTTTCAGTGTCCAGCTCTTCAGGGACCTCCAGGATAGAAGAGCTCAAAGGTATGACTTCCTGTCCTCCCTTTTCCTTGCTGTCAACTAGGTCCTAGGAGCAAAACAGCGTTTTCACAGTTGCAACTTGTTGAATGTGAACTCTCAAAGTATTATTTTTGCTTCACACCCCTTCCTCCTTATCCCTCATTCCAGCCATACTTCTTCTGCCCACGGGTGTGCAGAACAATCAGGAGCTTATGAGAATCACACTTGCTTCCCCTCCCCCCTCTGTCCACTATAGTCAGCATCGGCACTTGGTTGGAGGGACATTGTTTGGAGCTAGAAGGTAATGCACGCAGCAGCGCCGGTTGGATTCCCAACAAAAACTCCTTTCTCATAATTCTGCAAAGAGCTTGTGTAAGACACCAATATTTTCCATCATTGTGGTCTCCTAGTATAATGATTTGTACATGGTCCCTAGACATACCTCTATTTGTTTTCCCACAATCCCTGCGGTGGTGGATTACAGCAATTAAAAAGAACTAGGCTGGTGCTGGGAATTTATAGGTGTGAGGAACATAATATGGTGATAGGTTCTCTCATCTTACAATGCTTTGGGCCCGTTCTACTTCCCCCGTCTTCAGCCACTTGACTTGGCCAAACCACTGCCGCCTCTCATGAGTGGAACAGGCGCCTGTCTGTCTGCTTGGGCCTTTGCTGACGTCCATCCATTCTTGATTCAGTAGATCCCACCCTCACGCTGCTTCCCATAGCCTTTAGAATCAGGTCCAGACTCCAACAGAGTCTCTAAGTCAGCAAGGAGGCAAGCTTCTATAGTAGAGAGATTATCAAGGCAAGGGGGCTTCGGGGAGATGATTCGGATGGCCTCTTTGAAAACGAGACCTGAAGACGTATGGAAATCACCCATTGGTATCAAGAAGGGAAGAATACTCCAGACAGAAAATTCTGGGATTGGAAATTCTAAAGAAAGGCGCAGCCTGAAAGAATGACCTAAGGAAAGAGTAGCATGAGCAGGCTGGATTCCTCTATCTGTGGTCCAGAAAAGTTCTGGGCACATGCTTGGCCTTCCATAAACCATTGTTAGAAGACTGGGATTGTCTACATGGAATCTTAGCATGATGCACTGTACAGCAAGTTCAGTCTGAACCGCAAGGTTGGTGGTTCAAGCACACCAGCTGCTCCTCAGAAACCCTATACAGGGTTGCTATGAGTTGGAACTGACTCAGCAGCACTTCATAACAATACTCTACATAAAGGAGTCTTTGTGGCTCAGTAATTAAGCTCTCAATTTGTTGTTGTTGTTGGTAAGTGCCGCTGAGTCAGTTATGAACCATTGCGACCCTGTGTAGGGTTTCCAAAGAGCGGCTGATGAGCTTGAACTACCAACCTTGCAGTTCAAATGGCTTTGCAGTCTGATGCATTAACCCACAGTGCCACACCAGGACTCCAAGCTCTCGATAGCTAACTGAAATTTTGTTGTGTGCGTGAGTCAGTTCCTGCTCAGAATGACCCTATGAGTTCTATGGGTTATAAGCCATGAAGATGACACCCTAGGAAACCCCTGAGGGGAGGAGGGGATTCTTCTTTGTCCTATATGGTTGCTTTGAGCTGGAGTCAACTCAACAGCACTCAACAAGGATGGTAATGCACGTGACTGCCTAGTGGCTCATTTATCCCGGAGTGTGGTGCTGCTACTGGCCAGTTGGGTGAGGACAAAACACAAACAACAAAACCCACTGCCCTGGAGTCAATTTCAAATCGTAGCAACCTTGTAGGATGGAGCAGAATGGTAGCATAGGGTTTCCAAGGCTATCGTTTCTATGAGAGCAGACAGCCACATCTTTCTTCTGCAAAGTGGGTGGTGGGATCAAACCTTTCAGTTAGCAGCTGAGCACTTAACTACTGAGCCACCAGAGCTTGTATGAGGACTGGACGGAGGAAGAGAGAATTCTGTAGATTTCTATTAACAATTATTAATGGATTCCTTTTGATCTTGCTTTTGATCCCCTGGATTTCATTTTTATGATGTTGAAATTTTACCGTTTATACTACACAAGTTTGTCTAAGTTGATACTCATAAAATGACACCTGGCAGTTACCCTGGGACTAGAAATTCATCAGGTATTCTAGATATTTGTGATTCATTCTATGAAAAGTAGTAATAATAATTTTTTTCCCCTTTTTCTTAGAAAATGGATTTCACGAAGCTTAAAAAGCAATACTAGAGGGTATAGGTGCAGAATTGCTTGTAGTCATTCAAAGCATCCAAGTAGGAATATAGTAATATAAAAATCTGAAAAGCATCTTCTAAGTGTTCCAAACAAAATGTGTAACTCATTCCTAACTATTTTGAGCTTTGTAGCATTTTCCTAGATGGGGGAGAAAAAGTTAACATTTCTGAAAGTCCTGAAAAGTTTTTCCTTGGTTAATTACATTAAAAGATTTGCCTTTGATAATATTCCTTATTAAACATGGATATAAGTATTATATAGGTCCACTGTTAAAACAGACAATATGTTGCACATTAAATCTGGTATCATGTATTCCAACAAAGCTTAGAAAATAAAGGTGTTGAGGTGGCTTCTGAACTCAGTTTAATAATCATCTCCTCTGCTGACCACTTCTTTACATGGTGGACACAACAGCATGGTATGATCAAATTGCACTGTATACGATCTTTAATGTCACATAACGGTGGATACGGATCTACAATGCCCAAGTCACACAGATTCTTCAGAGCCATCAAGTATTTACTTTCTCCCAAGCGATTCAGCCATCTGTGGCAGAAAGCGAAGGTGCCAAAGTTTTCATTAATGACATTCAGCAAGTGTTTTGTTCTTGGAAGCCTTATTGGCACGTATCCAACACCAAAATTTTTCATGTAATGGGAACATTCCATACCATCATGAACCATACCTTTTCCTGTGCTACCAAAGGTTTCAATGGCATACATTTCTACTTCCTCCATGCTTGTTGTCTCGCCTTCTTTCAAATGGGGACTGTTTTCCCCGCATGTGTTCTATATGGCCCAATTGAATGTCCATTTAGATTACAGATTGGATTCACTTGATGTAGTCTTCCCACCATTTTCAACTTCATAGGATTCCATAACTTCTTGTATAGCCTCACCAACGTCACACAGATGAACATCAATTCCAGTGTTAGTGGCATCTTTTACAGCTTTTACCAATGTATCATATTTGGGATTAAAAGTGACTGTAAAAGCACAATCAATAATCCCACCACTTATGTGTGTTCCAAAGTCTATCTTCCAGATGTCACCATACTGTAACACTGTGTGTCACTGGCATTGGGAGTATAGTGGGCGGCACAGTTATTGGGAGAACACCCAGTAGGAAATGCCAGACCTGCGTTCAAGCCATTCTCTTGGATTAGTTTGAATGAACAGTCTTCCAACTTTTCACATATTTTTATCATTGTCATCCCAGGCTTGATCCAGCTCACAACATATTTTCTAACTTGTTGAGTGCTTCTGAAGCTTCATGAAAATCATTCCAAATCTCTTCACTGGCTTGATGCAATGCTTTCTTTTCTTCACTTCTAATACTCATTTTTAAAATAATGTATTTGTCGTTGGAAATGTACATAGAAGAACATGCACCAATTCAACAATTTCTCCAGGTACAGTCCAGTGAGTCCCTCGATCCCCGGGAACACAGCCATTTTCTCCTAAGGGTCCTGTCTCATCTTTTGAGTTGCTCTTGCCAGTTTGATCCAACAGAGTTAGTTCTTTCCGTCAAAGGAACCCTGATTGTGTAGTGAATTATGAGTTGGACTGCTTACCACAAGGTCGGTAGTTCAAACCGACCAACCACTCCATGGGAGAAAGATGAGGCTATCTGCTTCTGTTGCAGAAAGGTGGCACTGTAGGGTAAGCACTGGAATACTGATCATAAGGCTAGCAGTTCAAACCCACCAGTTGCTCCACAGGAGAAAGTTAAGGCTTTCTGTTCCCGTAAAGATTGATAGTCTCGGAAACCCAAAGGAGCATGTCTGTCCTGCCCTAGAGGGTCTTTGAGGAGGAACTGACTTAAAGGCAGTGGGTTAAGTTGGTGAACATTTTTAACAGCTTTGTTGAGGTGTAGCTGGCATACAATTTCCCAAGTGCCCGACACAAGTGGCATTCATTGAATAGAAGGCAGAGAAGCAGAAGCATCTCCCACCCATGCACTAGCACTGTGCTCCTTACCAGACGTCACCTGCTCTCTTGTCACTTCTTGGTCATCCGTCCTAACAGCTTTGGCTTAAGTCAGCCTTGTTCCACAACAGTCTCTGTGGACCATGCCACTCAGCACAATCCACTCCCTTTTCTGAATTTTTACGTCCTTGCCAAACTTCACTTGGCACTTGGGTTATGTTATATACTTCTGTTGAATTTGGTACTGACTCACAGTGATCCAATACACATCAGAACAAAACACTGCCCGGGCCTGAGCTAACCTCACAAGCATTGCTATGGTTGAGCCCATTGCTGCTGCCACTGTGCCAACCCATCTCGCTGGGGGTCTTCCTCTTTTTCTCTGACCCTCCACTTCTCCAAACATGATGTCCTTTTCTAGGGACTGGTCCCTCCTGATAATATGTATGTTTACAGCTATTTCCCTTTATTTTGAGTTGTGCCCCACCAGGAAATGAAGGTCCTGAAGGCTTTACTCCATTTGTGTCATTATGGTCAATTCTACTTTGAGGAGGCAGCTCTTCCCCTGTCATATTTTGAGTGCCTTCCAAGCTGAGGGGCTCCTTTTCCAGCACTAAATCTGACAATATTCAGGTGCTCTTCATCATGTTTCTATATTCTGTAATCTGGTGTTGACAGTGTCCCACTGATATTAATAAAGTTTTCAGTGACTAAATATTCGGAAGTAATCTGTCTCTCCTTCTTCTTAGTCTGCCTTCATTTGGAAGCTCATCTGAAACCTGTCCACCGTGGTTGAGTATTTAAAATACTCATGGCACAGCCTCCAGAATCACAACAATACACAAGCTGCCACAAACTGACTGACAAGTGGTGGTGGGTTATATACTCAGTATGACAGGGCTCATCTGGGAATTGTTGTGAGCTGATACTGA